TTCCACAGAACCAAACATTGATTCAATATACAGAAAATATGCTGTTATCATTTTCGAGCAACTGAACCGTAGTCGGGCTACATTGAGTAAACGGATGACTGTGTGCATATGCGTGTGCTGAGGAAATGAGGTTGTTAAAAATATTTAAAATTATTGGTTTTATAGTTAATAAACTTTTTGAACCCCTTCTCACACAAAATACATGTAGTTGGCAGGAAAAGAGTATATATGTGTAAATATAGACATATACAAAAATTAGTAAATATATTTTTTCTTTCTTCCTTTCTTCCGGGAAATTCAGTAAATCGAATAATTGGTAGGATGCTTATTAATTTTGAAGATATTTTTACTACTGATTTATTTGTAAAAAGAAAAACGGTAATAATTGTAGAAAAGAAAAAGCAAAACCAAGCGCATTCATACTTATAATAAGAACAATGTATCGTTATTCAGAACCTAATCTAATGCCCGGGACAGTGATAAGGATAAGTCCGATATGCGAAGCTGAGCCTCGTCCGGGCTATGAGCTGAGCCTGGCCTGTGCCGACTAATGTCGACTCGCAAACAGTATGTCAGCTGGTGCTGACTCGGGTGAGCTTAGTCCTTACCCACCGTGGTGCCCAGCCACAGCAGTAACCTCCAGGCGACAATTGCAACTTCTCGCACCTGGGCGGGGCGCGAACCGCCGACCCCTCGGATGAGAGGCCGACACGTTACCACTGTACTAGCCCGGAGGCTGGGACAGTAATGCCGTGCTTATGTGAGGTCCCGGTTACCTAGATACGATATACATTTTGAACCCCTTAAGGATAAGTCCGATATGCGAAGCTGAGCCTCGCCCGGGATACGAGGGGAGCCCGGCCTGTGTCGACTAATGTCGACTCGCTAACAGTGTCAGCTGGTGCTGACTCGGCTTAGTCCTTACCCGCCGTGGTGCCCAGCTACAGCATTAACCTCCAGGCGACAGTTGCAACTTCTCGGCGCGAACCGGCGACCCCTCGGATGAAAGGCCGACACGTTAACACTATACTAGCCTGGAGGCTTGAACCCCTTCCATTCCCTTTTAACATGGTCCATAAGTTACTGGGAGGTTTATTCATTAGCCGTTTCCCAAATATTGACATTTTTTGCCAAAACATTTCTTCCTTGGCCGCGGAAGGACTTCCGTGTGGTTTTTGGTTACTGAACCACTTCGTAACTGCCCTTAATATGTGTACTGGGCAGTTATCTATCATGCACGAATACGGTTGTTTCTGGGAAAGGCTAGAGGATTACAGCGTGCTGATGGGAGGAATATTCCTTCTAGTAATTCCAAAATATGTCTAAATTGGCGCGTAGGCAGGGCCGGATTATGACCTTTTGGGGGCCCTAGGCTAATGAAATTATGGGGCCCCCTCAGACGGAGCCACCCTCTAACTCGGCTGCACCCGTCTTGAATATTTTTTACTCGTAATATATTTTAGCGACATTTATATAGCTCGAAGTAAACTTATTGCAAATTCTTTAAATAAACTAGCATAGCTATCTTTTGTTTGTCAATAAAAATATTCTTTAAATACCACTGTTTTACTATATTTCAACACAACCGTAGTGATTCTTTTTATAACCAAGCCCCTCAAGCTTGGGGCCCCCAAGCTTGAGGGGCCCTAGGCTGCAGCCTATACTAGCCTGTAGGATAATCCGGCCCTGCGCGTAGGCCACTATCATGTATAAACATTTATCTCTATGAAAATTTGAACTAAGTCTATGAACAAATTGAAAAAGGATAATGATATTTACACCTGTTATCTCTCATCTCTCAATTGAGCACCCCGTACGCTCTCCACATAATGTTGGGCGAACTGGAGGCGATGTGGGCAATGTTGTTTGTTCAACCTCTCCTTGATTGATAACGTTCTAGGATGAATCCCATCTACATTCTTAGTCACCTGTATACCATCGAGCGGGAGATACCCGGCTTTCTGGAAGAGAAATTACTTTCCCTCATCCCAGTGATGCGGCCTCAATTTATAATTTCAGATTGCCTTGCGTCCGTCTTGAAAAGAAAAAGATGTCTGCTTGGCAGCCTTGGCAAATGGTATATGACGTTATATGCCATCGAACATATTTTCTTTCTTGTCTAACATATATTAGGATTAACCAAGAAATTAAAGACTATTGAAAAATCATTACCATAAAAAAGTATCAAATATACGATTTCGCTTTTTAAATTTTCTAGAGGTTTCCTCTTTTGTTTCAAACCACTCAAGTTCTAGGTGAACAAACGCACCAGGGAATAGGTATTTCTGATTATGTATCAAAGCTTTGGACAAGCACTGACAAATTCAAGGGAAATATAAATTGTATATGTGTCAGATAAATGTAGAGAGCGAGATAAAATTCCTATTATCTCTCTCTCTCTCTCTCTCTCTCTCTCTCTCTCTCTATATATATATATATATATATATATATATATATATATATTTATTTATTTATACATGTGTGTGTATGTATATATACA